ACATTCCCCTTGAAAAAATTTACATCACATCGAAAAAAAAAGAGACGTGGGAAGTTGCTCGTTATAAGATACAAAATACTAAATAAAAAGTATAGAAAAAGAGATAAATACATTAAGGTTTATGAGCTATTTTCCATGTTTCTGCAGCAGTAGTCCCCATGCTCATTGTTACTGGCAAGGTTTCCATTCCGTTTTATTTTACTTCATATTAAATAAACTTGTAAAATTTGATATTGTTTGTTTAATTTCTTGCGACATAAAAATACATATTTTATAACAGATATTGTTTTTTTCTATTGGTTTATTGTGAACGTTGGATATAGCAAATGCGATTTGTTTTTAGTATTATAGGTAAATAAGGCAAATATCATGACATGTGAAAGTCATTTAAAATACCAAAGGTGATTTGTTCTTAGTATTATAGGTGAATATAGCAAATATCATGACATGTGAAAGTCATTTATCATACCAAAGGGGATTTGTTCTTATTATTATAGGTAAATATAGCAAATATCATGACATGTGAAATTCATTTATCATTCCAAAGTGATTTGTTCTTAGTATTGAATTAATTGGTTTGATGATGATAATTTTTATTATGCTTGATTTTGTTCTGTTTGTGTGGATTCTGTTTAGAGAGTCACTTGATAGTTTTCATCTGAAACTTTGTGACAATCCTTGGATGGTAGGTTTCCACCTCTCTTTGCATTTATGTTTCATCCGAAAATTTGTATTTGATTGTAATAATAAAAAGAAAAAGAAAAATAATAATAAGAATAATAATAATAATTATTATTATTATTATTATTATTATTATTATTAGTTATTAATAATAATAATTGATGAAAATAAAATTATTTATAAATATATTATTTCTTGTCACGATATAAAATAATCTAGGCCTACATTAACATTAAAACCAACATTTTCAACTAATCTGGGATCGCTTTCTATAACCTGAATACCACCAAAAGTACAGTGCTTTATTTTATTTTTCGACGGGTAAGAAATGTCATGATTAACGAATAAAGTAAACAATATTACATTTGAACGCTGAGATGCTTTATTCATCATAAACTTTCATCAGCGGGATTCTGAGGGTAGAAAGTGGAACGGACACTATAAATATGGCAGGACATGGAGGTACCAAATACATATGAATGTCTTAAGCACTCAAGTAAACACACTTGATTGTACTTCTTTAACTATAACATATAATAGGAGAGAGAAGTCAAGTTTACATCACTGGTTGATCTGTAGGCATCTCGACTTATTGTAACTTTTCAGGTAAGTTCTATTTTTACTTATTTTTCATCAATAAGATATTTACCGGTGGGGCCTTTAAAATGTTAGTTATATAATATCTGAAAAGAAATACCGTCTGTGGCGAAATGTAGGAAAGTATATTTTACAGGCTATAAAAATGTTAAATAAAACAAAATCTTAAATTGAATACTAGTCAATTTTATAAAAAGTATATTAAAAATACAGTCATTCATTTGACGTTCTATAAGTTTTTAATTCGAAAAAAAATCGCAACATCTACAATATTAGTTTTATATATCGGCTGTGGCAAATCCAGACAAATAAACTGTAATAGCTATGACAATTTGAAATAAAAAAAAAAAACTTTAATTCAAATACTAGTCAAAATATTTGTTTTAATTCGAAAGGAGCAACTTACAATAATAAAGTAAACAATTTAAATTAATTTTAAAGTTCATCGTAGACAGTATTTCTTTAAACAAAAATCAACGAGTGATTGGTCACACTAGCACAGTTGACGTAGTTAATGTTTTGTAATGTAATGTGAGATTTTTAGTTTTAAACATAACATTTACCTGAATGCTACAGTGTTTTTAAACTTATATTATATGTTGCACTTGGGTAATTATGATAAATTATGTAGTCATCTGAAAACAAAAGGTATCATTATTATTTAAAAGAGACGTCAATTCCATTAGGGATAGGACTTGGTATATATACAAATCGATTTTTTTTTTTTTTTTTTTTTTTTTTTTTTTTTTTTTAAGGATGCGCTGAATAATGTTTGGGCATCTGGTCGTTTCTGCGAATTCATTTTAAGCAAAATATAAATATGAATACAGATTAAATACAATTACAGATACGATAGGTAATATTATGCTATGTTAATCTTATAATTATATGGGGAAATTCCAAGTGACACCCGCATTTTATAATATGTCAGTTACTTACTTTTATTAATCAGTGATTAACTATAGTAATTGCCAGGGGACAATCATAAAAATGTAAAGTAGCGCGCTTATTAATAATAATTAGGCCTATTTCTAATATTATTTAAAATAATTGGAAAATAGGGAATCCCGTGTGACACCAGCCCTTACATTGTATATCAGTCATATACATATAATCCATCAAAATGTATTAAATCATTTAATAATTATTTTACTTAAGCATTTGATGATATTAAGTAATTTTCAAAGGATCACCATAATTAGTTAACGGTAGCGCCTTGTTAATATAATAATAATAATAATAATAATAATAATAATAATAATAATAATAATAATCCTTCGTTTTAAATAGTTATATCAAATTAATTTATTGAATTGTAAAAGAATAACCCAATTACGACACCAGTAATTAAATTGAATATCAGTTATTAACTTTAAATCCTTTAAGTTAAATTATTTCATGATTTTTTAAGATTACAGTAATTATTGGAGGATTATCATGATAGTTAAATGTAGCATGCTTGTTAGTATTAAAATAGGCCTACATTTAGTGTCTTCATTAATTTTTAATTTCATTTTGTTTTTATTTTCCACTTCGTTACAAAACCCACTAAATTTTATATCATTTTAATCCGTACATAATTTATTTAATGATTTATATGAAATAATAATAATAACAATAATAATAATAATAATTTGTATATGCTTACTCATTAGCAGAATGCCGGGTGATTTTTGGTATCACGATTCACAATGTTCTTGTTCATAATATACTGTCATTTCTATTAGAAACACCTGGTATATAAAATTACATCCATACATATATTTAATCATTATTATTTAGGTATTTAGATTCTATTAATCTTGCATTACACTGTGGCAGAATCAGTAAAGAATGAATATAGTAGTACTTGAAATAGTTTTTCACTAATTTACATTTAATACAAAAAACTTATTACCATAATCTGCGAGCTGTCGTGTCTTGTGGTACTGTATTATATCAAGTATCACAAAATAATATTTGTGGGCCTATTACCACTGGTTACAATTTACAGTTCCAAAGAGTTGGCAAAGTATGTGCGAAATGATTTCCATTTACATATTCAAGACGAAAACACTTATAGACAAACATAGACCACCAGTCGTTTGTATAAACGCAAGTCTTCGTATGGTTAATGGTAATAACTCTATAGCGCAAAAAACACTGACGACTCTTGGAGCTTAGGCAAGCTATGCAAAAGTTTTGGTTAGAAAAATTAAAAAGAATGAAAATCAATAGATTTTTCTTTTAGTTGGCGTAGCTGGTAAACTTCAACACACAGTATTTAAACTTTATGTTAATGCTTTATAGACATTCTTATTTTCATATATACAGTATCTGCATAATTATGTTTTTGTACTTTTAAAAATTCGATTTCAGACATTAACGCAGTTTCAGTTCGGCGTACTATATTTTTTTTTCTTTTGACAAGCCATATTCAAAATTATCACCATGCCGTTTGGAGAAGGAAACTTCCAGTTTGCAATTGTTGGTATTGGTAAGTAGGCCTATATTTACTAGAAAATGTTTAGGCATCTTGCTAAACAGTATACACAAGTACGATTAGTAAAAAGTTTTTATTTATTTCTATATTTCAAAAACCACATCCAACAGCAAATATTTGCCAATAACAGGATGTCTTAAAATATTTACATGCATATAAATGTAAAGATATAAATAGAAAAACACACAAAATTAATTATAATAATCCTGATGATGATAATAATAAATAGACCTATCAATTGTAGGCCTAAATTTGAACATTTGATGATAAATATTATCAGATCTCGTATCATCATCATCATCATCATCATCATCATCCTCATAATCATCATCATCATCTTCATAATTATCATCATCATCATTAATAATATAATTTTATTGTTATAATTATAATTTTTATTTTTATATTATTATTATTAGTAGTAGTAGTAGTAGTAGTAGTAAATAAAACACAAAATATCTATACTCGTAGACCGTTTTGTATATATATATATATATATATATATATATATATATGTATATATATATGATGTGTATAAGAGACAGATTATGAACCGAGGACAATTGGGCTACTAACTTTTTTTTTTTTTTTGCTTTAGGATGTAGGATGCCTGGAGGAGTAACATCTCCCAATGAATTCTGGGAGGTTCTTCGAAACGGCAAAGACTGCATTATCGAGGTTCCAGACGACCGATGGTCACTTGAAAAATTCCATGATGAAGATCAGACTAAACCGGGCAAGATAGTGTCAAGAAAATGTGGTTTTATTGATGGCATCGACAAGTTCGATAACACATTTTTCAAAACGTCACCAAAAGAAGCCGCATCAATGGATCCTCAGCAAAGAGTCTTAATGGAGGTTACACATGAAGCATTTGAAGATGCTGGCATCATACCAGACGAGATGAAAGAGTCGTGTGGTGTATACGTTGGAATAGGATTGATGGATTACGGAGTTCAGATCCTTGACTGCCATGGTTCCACCGTCAATGCTTATACTCTAACCGGCGCAGCACATAGTGTAGCAGCAAATAGAATATCATATGCGTTTAACTTGAAGGGTCCTAGCTATGCGGTAGATACAGCCTGTGCATCGTCTATGACAGCACTGCATCTTGCTTGCAATTCTCTTCTAAGTAATGAATGTGAAGTAGCGGTTGTAGCAGGAGCAAACGCTCTGATAATTCCAGACACTACAGCGGGTTTCAGTGCACTTGGCGTCCTGTCACCAGAAGGGAAATGCTGTCCGTTTTCCGATTCAGCTAAAGGTTACGTCAGAAGTGAAGGATGGGGAGCCATGATCATTAAACCACTCGAGCGAGCAATAGCTGATAATGATAATATTTATGCAACTGTCATAGGGTCTACAATTGGAGCCAACGGTCATAGCCAAAGCTTGACTATGCCTTCTTCGTCTGCACAACAGGAGACAATTGAAGATACATACAAACGATTTGGTGTAAACATGGCTGACGTAGAATACCTGGAGGCACATGGGACCGGTACACCAGTAGGAGATCCTATTGAAGCTGAAGCCATAGGTAAAGCATTTAGTCCTCATCGTAGCAAGGTTCTAAAGATCGGATCTGTTAAGAGTAACTTTGGCCATAGCGAATGCGCTGCAGGAGCAGTTGCAACAATCAAGGCAGCATTGATGTTACATAGGGGTTACTTGGTTCCATCAATCAATTATGAAAACCCAAATCCCAACATCAACCTCGAAGAATTGAAACTGGATGTACAAACGACTGTCGAGCCACTTCCTACTAGAAACAACACATTGGTTGCGATTAACAGTTTTGGGTTTGCAGGCGCATTGGCCCACGCCATTCTACAAAAGCCACCACGAAGAGAATATAAGGATATAGTTGACCCAGTACATTGGTCATTCGGTAGTAGTGCAAAAGAAGGAAGATCAATGATATTGCCTCTATCTGCTAAGTCATCTAGTTCATTGAAAGACCTAGCCTTAAAATGGAAGAGTTTTGAATATGAAGAGGACGCACTCAGGGTAATAGGTTGGCAAGCTACTCACCGAAAACATCACGAATGTCGCCTTGCAATCCTAACGAATGCAGGAATGGACGTCCGAAATAAATTAGATTGTTACTTAGAGAATGGGAGTGGTGAAGGTGTACTAACAGGCTCTGTTTACAATCCAAATCATAAGGTGTGCTTCGTATTTCCAGGACAAGGTCAACAGTGGGCACAGATGGGAAAACAGCTATACAAGACTGAGCCTATTTTCAGAAATACTATCGAAAAGTGCGATGAAATCTTTAAAAACCTGAGTGGTTGGTCACTAGTGCATGACAAATTCCTTTTTAATGCTCACCCAAAAGGAAAAGAATTAACCAACAATGACATTAATGACATGGAAATCAGCCAGCCTGCAATTCTATTTTTACAGATTGGTTTGTATGAGTTGTGGCGCCACTGGGGACTCGAACCTGATGTTGTCGTAGGTCACAGTCTTGGAGAGGTAGCAGCAGCTTACGCATCCGGTGGTCTTACCTTAGAAGAATCTGTAAAAGTAATATATTACAGAAGTAAGAACCAAGTTCTTCTTAAAGGTACGGGAAGTATGGTAGCAGTGCGATTGACTGTAGATGCGGCTCAAAAATTGTGTAATAAGTATGACAACCTATACATTGCTGCTGAAAATGCTCCTGGTTCTCTAACGTTGGCAGGTTCCGAGGAAAACGTCCAGTGTATTGTCAATGACAATGATATAAAGGCAAAGCAGCTTAGAGTTCAGTGCGCATTCCACACTCCTCACATGGATCCTATGGAAAAGCCATTCCGTTTATCTATGAACGGAGCAGTATCAACTCCAGCAGGAACCCGATCAGTTCCAGTTTACTCAACGTTGACTGGTGGACTTTATAATGGTGACTTTAACACAGATTACTGGTGGCAAAACATCCGAAATGGAGTGAAATTTCAACCCGCTATTGAAGGTATTCTTCGTGATATCGATGCTAATGTATTTATTGAGTGCAGTGCATCTTCTACTCTTATTTCATCAGTAAAACAGATAGCAAAAGATCAAGGTAAGACTGACCTCATCACAGTATCATCTGGACAAAGAGATAAAGATGACAGGACATCCTTCCTATCCTCACTCGCAACTCTGTACACTAATGGTTTGGAGATCAACTGGAAGAATGTAACGAATGACGCCGCTGATTGGGTTGATATTCCTAAATATCAATGGCAACATGGTTCATTTTGGTGTGAAGGCGATGAGAAATATAAAAGAAGACTTGGGTTGGATGACCGGACCTTCAGAGGAGAGAGTGGAAGACTTACATTTGGTTTATTTCCATTTCTTGCTGATCACGTTGTTCAGGACAAGGTAATATTTCCAGGGGCTGGCTATATAGAATATGCTCTTCAATCGTTTGTACCAGAAAATAAGTGCCCTTCGTTGAGTAACATAGAATTTAAACGCGTTTGTGTGTGGCCAGAGGAAACAAACAATATTAATGACCAAGCTAGCATCCTCCTGAAGTGTGTTAAGGAAGGAACCGGCATCGACATTTCATCCAATGACACAATTAATTGCAGTTGTAATATATCATCCAAGAACTTGAAACAAGCAACCAAATTAGATATTGAGGTTATTCAGGCTAGATGCCATGATCGTCCAACTAAAGAAGCGTTCTATCACAAAATGGCATCAGTTGGTCTAAATTATGGACCTGCATTTCAAGTTGTCACTGAGGCTATGATTGGAGATGGTGAAATAATTGGCCGTTTGATCCCTGCTAAAGATACTCATCAACGCATACAAACCACACAGCTTGATGGATGTTTCCAGCTCCTCCTGAATACTATTGGAGAAACAACAACACTTTATCTTCCAGTTGAAATTGATCACCTGCAGATGTATGTACCTAATATACCAATATCCGAAAATTTAATAGCTTATGCTAAGGTTACTGATTGTGACAGCAATATGTTGGTGGGTGACGTAACTTTATCTACTGACGATGGTGAGATTTTAGTTTACCTGTCTGGTGTAAAATGTCAGAATGTAACTGGCACACAATCCAACGTAGATATAGATGACTGTTTTTACGAGACTGTGTGGCAACCAAGTAGCTCATGCATGGGTGATACTTCAATACTGACAGATGTTTTCACAGAAAAGTTTCTATCTGAGCGATATCCAGAGGAGCTGGTTAGTGTTGAGCGAGTTCAAAAACTGTTGCCTCTTGTCAAAGGTGTATGCGCGTCATACATTCGTCATGGTATTTCTACAACCAATAGATCTACTTACAAGGTACATCCATTATATGTTAAGCGTTTGGAGAAGATATGCTCTGATAATACGGTGGTAGATGTGCCATTTGAAAATATTCACAAGACCATTGATTACCTCAACAAAGAAGTTCCTGAGTTGTACAGCGAACTTAGAATGATTCGAGATCTTGGGGATAATTTCCCAAAGACATTGTCAGATCCAGGAAGTGCAGTGAGGATCCTGTTCCGTCAAGAATGCCTACCAATATATTTTATGGACTCAGTAAGCACCAGACTGTACTACAAACTTGGAACGGAAATAATAGAGCGAACTGTCAGGAAAGCTTTGGAAAAGAAGCAAGTTGTTCGAGTTTTGGAGATTGGTGGACGTATGGGAGGACTTGCGAAGTACATACTTGAACCTCTTAAAACACTCGGAGAGGAGAGACGCCTGGAATACATTTTCACAGATGTCAGTGTTACGTTCTTCAAACATGCCGAGGGAATTCTTACCGATTATCCATTTATCAAATACCAACAATTTGACGTTGAGAAAGATCTAGCTACTCAGGGGTTTGTTCCGGGTTCGGTTGATTTAATTGTTTGTATGGATACAATCCATTCTTTGGTTAATGTTAATGATTCTCTTAGAAGAGTAAAAGATCTTCTGGTTGATGATGGTCTGTTCCTAATGTATGAAGCTACAAATACTCACTATATTGCAGAGTTGGTGTTTGGATGTCTTGATCTCTGTTGGGTGTTTGAAGACTTCAGGAAAGACATAGGCCGATGCTGGCTTTCGAGGGATGGGTGGACCAACGCAATGATTAAAAATGGATTTGTTGATGTTGTGGCAGAATCAACCTCTGAAGAATTTTTCCATAGTGTATTTCTTGGAAGGAAGCCTTGTGATGGACCAGTCAACAATGCTGCTAAACAGTATATGATAGTCTCTGACGGACAGCAAAACGAGTTTGTAAATTGCCTACAAACTTTACTTAGGCACGTAATGGTGAAAAATTACAATAACGTGCATGATAATAAAATCCTTGATATGAGTAATAATTCAGAAGTTGAGGTAATTTTTATATGCAATGAATCAAGTGATGCGTTCCATGCTCTATTCAAGCTATTACAGATTGATGATAACAATCGCGTTGCGTTCTACAAGGTCTGGGTTTTAACATCAGGATCAAATATGGTTTCTCAAAATATCGAAGGCAGCCAAGCTATTGGTCTTGTCCGGGCTCTTACAAACCAAAGTAATACATTGCTATTCTCAGTTGACATCGATCATGATGGATCACCAGCAACACAAGCTAAACTAATGGTCGAGTACATGACATCTAAAAACCAAAGCGAACGGGAAGTTGCCATACGTAATGATACTTATTACTATCCTCGAATCAGGAAACTTTCATCCGAACGTTCTCTATTAGATACGCCATACTGGCAACTAACCCAGTACTCAAATTCGACGTTATATTCATTTGACGATTTGGGAATTGCTTATACAAGTGATATGCTACCTCCTCCTGGTAAAGTAGTGGTTCAGACAAAGAGTGCAGCATTAAACTTCAAGGATGTGATGATGGCACTGGGTATGCTTGACAGACTAATCGGTTCCAGTGAGAAGAAATTTGGACTTGAACTGAGTGGTATTGTACATAGTGTCGGGGAAGGGGTAACAACACTTAAAAGAGGGGATGAAGTATTTGGGTTTGGAGACCATTGCCTAGCATCACATTCTATATGTGATGCTGAACTACTCGTTAAAAAACCATCAAACCTATCATGGGACGAATGCTCAGGCATGGGTATCATCTTTGCTACGTCATACCATAGCCTTATTGAACGTGCTAATTTGCAAGCAGGAGAAACGGTTTTGATACATTCTGCATGTGGTGGTGTAGGACTGAGTGCAATACAGGTCGCCAGAATGGTTGGTGCAAATATCATCTGTACAGCAGGGACGAATCAAAAGCGCCAGTATTTGAAGTCACTGGGAATTCAACATGTGTCAGACTCACGTACAGACGCATTCTACAGTGACGTAATGAAGTGGACAAATGGCAGAGGTGTTGACGTTGTGCTGAATTCTCTCAGTGGTGATCTCCTGAAAAAAGGTGTAGAATGTCTTGCTCCGGGTGGTCGATTTTGTGAGATTGGTAAACGTGACATTCTTCAGAATTCAAGCCTCCAGATGCACATTCTTCTTGAGAATAAGACTTTCATTTCAAGTCAAATTGACATTATGATTGAACTGGACAAATCCAGAGCTCATAGGTTGCTTAAGAAGGTTGCAAGTCTTTTTGAAAATGAAATATTAAAACCAATCCAATTTGCAGTCTCGTCAATTGTAGATTACCAAGATGTTTTTGCAAGGACCGCCAAAGGATCACACATTGGTAAAGTAATCTTCAATATTCCAGACAATTTTCAACCTCCTAAAGTCAACCCGACGACTAAACTCTTCAAGCAGAACGCAACTTATATTATCACAGGAGGATTTGGTGGAATTGGCTTGGCCATGTCACGATGGCTTGCAAATAAAGGAGCAAAGCACATTTCATTGATTTCCCGTCGTGGCTGTTGCAATTCAGCTGGCAGACGGACTCTTGAATACCTCAAGAGAAAAGGAGTAACTGTCTACGCGTATGCAATGGACCTAAGCAAAAAAGAAAACATCCAGGTGATGATTGACCAATTACGTAAAGACAACGCCCCAGACATCAAAGGTATATTCCATTTGGCAGGTTACATCATTGAGGAGACATTCAACACTCTTACCACCAAAGAGGTAAACAACATCATCTCTTCCAAAGCAACCAGTGCTCAATATATGAGCGATCTGACTACCAACATGGGGCTCGACATATTCTTTACGTTATCGTCTGTGACAACCATGTGCGGAAATTCTTCACAGTCTATGTACATTGCAGCCAACAACTTTTTGGATGCACTCGCTATGAAAAGAAGAAGCCAAGGATTGCCATCATTAAGCATCCAACTGAGTCCGGTAAAAGGTGCGGGATACTTGGAGGATAAGTCTGATGTTACAAAAGCATTGAACATGAGAGGTCATCTTTCTCTTCACGTTGAAGAATTTTTACAAACCTTATCGACGCTTTTACAGTCACAGGATACTCCGCCAGTATTCTACCTTGCAAATCAGGTACGTTATTGCTATATATTATCTACATTTATTTATTATGTCATAATAAACAGTGATTGCTTTTAGGTTGTTATGATACCTAGTATCTTGAAATAATATATGAGCTTGTAGAAAAGCTATAGCGTGTCTACAGTTTATTGTGTGTAGTAAATGTTTGAGCATTTGTTTTTTTAAGACGACTTAACAAGATAAATGATAGTTAATTTATAAATATTACTTATATTACAGGACTGGAATGCCACCCAGATGTTTACGTACGAAGAAAATCTCAAGTTCTACCATTTGGTCTCAGGTCAGCAGGCGAACAAGACAGACTGCTCCCTCTCACTGGAAGACGTTGAGAAGAGTGTCAAGCTGAAGATGAGTAAAATGCTTTGCGTCGAACCAGACACGATTGATGTTAATCAACCTATGATCAACTACGGAGTCGACTCACTGATGGCAGTTGAAATGGTAACGTGGGCCAGCAAAGAACTGAACGTTGTTGTTTCGCAGCTGGATATCCTCGGGGGTATTACTACTAAAGTTCTTCTAGAGAAAGCATTGGATAATGAAATGGTGCTTCCATTGAATTCGTAGATTATGGCGTAATAATACTTTATTGTGAATATATCAGATAATGTAATGGTAAACCTCAGTACTGTGAAATCAATGGCTGTTGAATTTTAATTCTCTTATTCTTTTTTTTTCGTATTATACACACTTTTAAAAACCGTTCTTTTAAAATTACTGTTTAATATCAATATAGCAATTTTTGGATATTTTACTTACACTTTCTTTTTAATTTACCATGAAAGTACGATTTTTTATAGCTACAAGTCCACATAATAAGTGACTATCGGAAACAACATCTAAACCTAGGTTAAAATCGAAACTTTAAAAGCAAAACTACATTTAAAAACTGACTGATAACCTGACAGTGGAAAACTGTCAGGCAACATTAATACATTGTATATTGTATATTGTATATAATACCTAACTCACAATATATGTTTTTTGAATGCATAGGATTATTTTATAGATATATACAGTAGCATTTTTAATTTGTAAGTATTATATGTGACGCCCATATTTAAGTATAACTACGTTGATTTAGATTTAATATACTATCATGCTATTTATATTCATTTATATATAGGCCTATATATATGTTTATATATATATATAGGTATATGTATAAATTGTTATATGATATATTGTATGTTTATATTGATGCATATTACCACATCACTACCTTACTATTTTGCTTGTATGTTGTGCATTGAGAAACATTTGTGAAAATAAATTACAGTGTTTATAAATTCAAAGTAATATATGTATCTGAGTATCATTTTTGCCAAATACTGTGTTGAAAAACATGATTTTTTTCCTTATATAATTAAATTGGTATTTCTAGTCTCCGAAATGCAAATGCCCTGAGCAAAACTTCAGTAGAGCAAATGCGGAGTGTACATGAGGGCTGGTAAGAAAGATAGATGAGAAAGTGATGGGTGATAACTTCAGTTTAATTATTTTGCTTAGCAATATTCAGTGTGGTCCTCTTAGATAATGCTGCTGATAATATCAATTTCAATTTATCAGATCATCAAAATGATTATAATTTGTTTTTAGATAAAAATATTAAACGGTAAAATAATATTTTTTTAAAAACCAAATCCTTGAGCACGAGGAGAATAAAGATGATAAAGTGACGGGTGACTTCAGTGTAATTATTTTGTTCAGCACTATGCAGTGTGGTCATCCGTTAAAAATTCCCCGAATAAAATATACGAGCGGTACTGGATAAAGACAACTTGATTTACACTCTCAAACGTGGGAGAAACAAATAATAAATATTGTCACAGTAGACCACAGTATATTCTTAAGTTTTGTGCACACTATCAAATTTTATAAATTTGTGTGATGTGTATGACGTATGGGCCTGTGTGTGTGTATATATGTATATATATGTATATGTATACATATATATGGGCCTATATGTGTATACATATATAGGCCTATATATAAACATATATATATATATATATGGGCCTGTATTTATGGGTATGTGCAAGGCAATTAAACAGAAGGACGCACAATGTGATATAAAAAAAAACAAAATTATTCTATTAAACAATTTAAATTATATTTTGTTCCAAAATACCTTTATTCGATTATACACGTTACTGGTTGTTAAAAAATGATATAATAAAAAAAAAAACGGTAATGCCATGAAGGTAATGAAAAAAAAATCGATATAGAAGGAAATATTGTACTGTACTGTACTGATTGTTTGAATAAAGGTGGTGGTACGCCACGAAAGAGAAAAAGAAAAGACAACTTGATTTCTTGCTTCGAACAAGGTATTCATTGGTAGAAGTCTTATGAAGATAAGCCTATCCAGTAGTGACATTAAACGGTCGGAACTAGGACATATCTCCGACTTTTTTTTTCTCCGAATTGACATAGACAGAAAAATATTAAATGCAGACACAATGTATACATTAGAGTCTAACCTTAAAACATAAAAGGTGTAATTAAAATATAAAAGTTGTAATTTAAAAGTAAGCTTATAATAATTAATGTATGTGCAATTAATCTGTTAATTGTGAATAAGAATAACGCAAAATATAAAGGAAGAAGGAAGAATAGGACAGAAACTCGGAGCGGCTGAAATATTTACTAAAAATAAAAAATAATAATCATTTTGTAATTATTGATTTACATTTCTGTAGTAATTTTGGACACTTGTTCATCAGAGGTCAAAGTGTCAAGCCTACATGTTTCGTAATTCGACATCGAATCCACTGGTAATATCAATATTAAGTTATCAAATTATTAACATAATTATAAATGTTTGTGAGATAAAATGTTAGGCCTACTGCTAAAATATTTTAAGAAAAAACACATGCTTAAGCACGTGAATGGTGGTGATCGCTTATGAGAAATATCAGAAATTGTATTTTGATTGAGAGACAAATCAATTGCCTTTGTTAAGCCGGTTTTCCACTAGGAGAATTTATTCGCGAAAATCGAAAGCATTATTTATGCGCATGCACATTCTCATTTCTATCGGAGTTTTCAACAGAAATCAGTAGTTCCAACTGTTTAGAACTACTTTTTGCGAAGCGAAACAAAAAAATGCGCAACCAACTATAGCCCAGGAAGCGAACCGACGCTTTCGATTCGCCCGAATAATTTCGCCTAGTGGAAAACAGCCTTCAGAGGCGGCCGCTAAGAATATCTCGCCTGCGATACGTGATCGCACATAAAGATTCAACTAAAGGAGTATGTCCCAATTTGACTACTTAACTTCTTCTTCATTACACTGGGTGTGCTGTTCAGTAGATATCTACTGCTTTCCCAAATGGCCAAGTTATGCTTTTTAATAACTAAATCTTATTATGAGACTTAGGGAGTGGCGTTGTTTTAGTCTTGAGAAAAAAAAATCTTGCTGTCACCACAGGAATTGACCCATGACCCTGGGATTGAAAGGCAAGCATATTAAATACCAAGCTATTTCAACTCCACTCCAGAAGCCTTCTCACCTCTGATGTTTAAACATGGTTTAAACAACCTATCTAAATATGGAAGTGTCGATAATATCTATTTCATTAAAAATAGTATGTTGTTTGTTTATGAACTACTTTTCTTTTTCTATTTTTTTTTCTTTAAATACGTTTCTTTCGGTTGCAAAAGTAACCCATGGTGTTCGTTTGTGACATGAGAACGTTTGTGAAAGTGTTCGTTTGTAAAACTATTTTGTTCGTTTGTGACTGCACGTTTTACGTTACAAACGGCGTACATTTAGCTAAATATACGTCGTTTGTAAAAATGCACATTGCCTTGCCCGTTTAATTGTTGTCATAGAATGACTTACGATCACGCGGAGTAACAGCATGGGTATCTGATGTTGGTTCATTGCTGAGTGGTAACAATCGAAAATCCCGTGTGATAAAAGCAGAGCTGAATAAAACAGACACCAGGCAAAATGAATCATTAACTAATATTTGAATAGACTGGGTTAGGCCTGTGAGCTGGGCATACACTATAGGTCGACTTATTCAAATCTTTGTTTATTCAATTTTGTAGTTCAAACATTTACGTTAAATCAACCAAAAACGATTGATTACACTATTCTAAAGCAAAGTTTTAAGCTTAGTTACAAGATTTTCCATCCAATATGTCGATCCTAAAACAATCAATCGTAATAGCAATCACTGCCGTTGCTGTACTATATCTTCCAGGCCTATGGAAAAAGAAGCTACCGGTAATATTTGAGGGCCAAGTAGAAAAGGGCTTCGAGGCTGTATTTGATGCATTCAAGTAGGTATATTCGATAGAATTTCTGTTTCAGTGATTTATAAGTGCTAGGTGCATATTTGTAGTACAAAAATATAAGTACTAGATTCAACAATAAATTTGATTAGACATTTCAATTACTAAATAGTTTCATGACACGATATGTCACTCTTTAATAATGTCTATATAATTATATATATATATATATAATTATATATAGACAAAATATTTGTCTATTATACTGCTCTGCTATATAGGCCTACTGCATGAGCACTCTTGTCTATATGATCTGCTTTAAGCCAACCACTCAGATTATATATCTGTCTCTTATACACATCTAGATGTGTATAAGAGACAGGTATACAGGCAAGAAAGTTGTCGACATATGGGGAGGCTACGCAGACAAGCAATCGCACCGGCCATGGAAGCAAGATACGTTAGCTACCATTTATTCTAGCGGTAAGGGGGTCGCAGCCATCTGTATTGGAATGTTAATTGACCGAGGCCTGCTAAAATATGATGATAAAGTCGTGAAATACTGGCCCGAGTTCGGTAAGCACGGCAAACAAGACGTGACAGTTGAGATGCTCCTTAGCCACCAGGTACAAACACTGTCTCTTATACACATCTAGATGTGTATAAGAGACAGATATATATATAGGGATATTGCGTAGTAAAATTATAATTAGAACTATTGAAAATAATGGAAATTGATAAATTGCAAATTTGAATACTGTTAAGGTAAAAGTCGGAAAATTGCACTAATTAGAAATTTTTAAATTCTTAAAAGAAGGGGCTCGGCCCACGAGTGTTCATCTTTGGCATAAAAAATTGAGAAGGATGAAATAATTGCTAGTTTCGAGAGGTCATCTCGAAACACCCTGAACGGTATGGGTTTATTGCACAGTGTATGTAGACATTTTAAACGTTCAATGTTCGGGTGGGATGAACCCACGTGTGCCGATTTCAATAAGGATAACTTCTTTAAATGTGCATTGGTAATTTGGGTTTCAAATGGAATGGTTAGTTCCAGAATGACAAGTTTTTTTAAGATTTGGCCAGAAGAGGCAAATGTCTGGTATTAGATTGGTTGCAACACATTCAATGCGAATTATGGATGAATGAATATTAGAAGAGGCGCTGGCCACGAGGTTACACAGAATGCAAGGAGGGGAAGCAGTGGATTTAAATCCATCCTTCAGCATTTGGTTTAGATAATTCAGCACGTTATTTTGCCGCCATGTGAGGCGTCCCTGGCCCAGGGAACAAGAGCAATTATTAAGGATATGAAAAGCGTCTCTCTGTTCCCACATGCCCCACAGTTTTCAGAAATGTTTTTTCCCCATATATGTAAATTAACCCTGAGATTAAACAGCACAGCGTTCGATAAAAATGTCATGACCCCCCTTGGTAAATTATAAATAAAAGTCCTCCAGTGATGGCATTTTTCTTCTAACGACAACAATTGGTAAAACCTTCCATGGACCAGGAGCTCCCTAACAACCATGGCTGTTCCAATAAGCTTTGATATCATCCCCTTTGATCTTGTTTAACAGATGATTTAATAGGCCTCTACGAGTTACTTGGGCTTCCGGTTCAGAATCCTGAGCTCGGCGGAACGTACGGTAGTTTCGGAAAAGTGGTAATGTTTCTTTCCCAATTACTCTCACTAGCAATTCTAGTATCCAGGCTATGATTGACTGAAGGACCACCCTTCAAACGAGTAGAAACATGCGCAAGAGCAGGACATTCAATATAGATGTCAGAAATTCCAGGGATGTCCAGACCAATCGGCATATAAATAAATGCCAATGTGCCTGGTTTGGGCATCCCAAACCATTTCTTGAGAAATCTATTGCAGAGTGCATCATTGCTATCAAGATAGATCTTACAAACATTATTCACAGTCAAATGATATCTCAGGCTGGGTGCATAGATCTTAATCTAATTCGGTGTTGTGAAATGTAATGAGTGAGCCACGAAATTTAAGAGGCTGCTCAACTGACATAATGATATTGTCCTCTAACATATATATGGGATATTTGAAGCCATCCCGCGAACAATGGAGATGGATTGGCATTTGGATGCTTTTCAGTTTGAGCCCCATAGTGGAGACAAGAGATGAAATTTTATTGACAGGTTTCTTTTGAGATCTTTTATTTCCAGTAATCAAACAGAAGTCACCCGCAAAAGGTGTCGTAATATAATATCCGCGGGATAGCTCCATTTCAATATACAGAAGTAAAGGGTCGAAACATAAAATGAAAATAAGGGGTGAAAAGGGATCTCCCTGAAAGATCCCCTTGCGGAGACAAAATTCATCGGAGCTCCAAAGTTTGGTTGTTACCCGGCCTAAGATATTGTCTTAGAGGTTAGTTATATAGTTTTTAACATCAGGATCAATTTTCGACCTATCAAGCATAAATCTAATTAAGTTATGGGAGACCAAGCCAAACGCATCTTCTAAATAAAGAAATGTAAAATGAATAGCGCGAGATTTAGATTTGGCATGTCTAATGAGCTCGTGCACCACCAAGTTATGTTCTATACAGCCACTCACACCTCTAAGGAAGGCTTTCTGAATTTTGGTGTTAACAAGCTTGTTAATCTTCGAGGCGATTGGCTATAATAGTATGGAAAAATTAGCAGTGCACGAGGTTAAAGTAGTAAGTAAAAAATTTGTTGGCGTGCCGGTTTTCCCATGTTTATGGATAAGAGTGACTCTAATATTTGTCCAGGACGGCACCGACTGGTCAGTCTCGATTACTTTGTTGTAAGGTTGCAAGGAAAAAGTTTATGTCAGTAAGCTTAATTTTTCAGCAATCCATAGCTTAAACCATCCGGGCCAGGAGCAGAGGAATTACTTTTGTGTTACAGGACGTCAAGGATGTCTTTTGGACGGATCTTGTCCGAATTGAAAGCGCACATTTCATCAACTGAAATATGGGGTTTTGGCATTAAGCAAAAGTCAGTCGTATTAATTGTCGTGGGGTTACCATACCTTTCACGGTAAAATTTATCAGCGGTCTTCTTCGTAAATGATGGGGATTTGCGATCGCAGTATAGTGAGTTATTCAGTAACTTTTTGCTAAAACCCCAAAAGTTTGCACGAAATAATTTCTCCTCATGATCCGTGGTCCTTCTACGTATAATAGCTCATTCTTTCTTCTCGTCTAAGTGTCTCTTCTTCTTCTTCTCTTCTTCTGCCCTGTAAACCGGTACCAGCTACTCTCATCTGTCCACAACATGGACTGTATGGACCAGTACACCGGGTTAGCCCCCCACTCGTCTCGAAAGATGTACTGGGTTCTTTATAGTGCACATGAGCCAATTGTGCACAAATGTACAACAACGGCAAGCCAGCCCAAAGTAGAAGTATACCTGGTCGTTCGCGTGTACTCAGCGCGCGAAACTATTACAGCCAAAGCCACAACATTCTACCAGATTCCCATTTATATTCATGGCTAGAGAGAGGCAAACGTAGGTAAAGCAAGGACTTATAACTGTTATAACTGTTAAGTAACAGTAGCAGTTATAAGTCCTTGGATAAAGTGCCTTGCCTGAGGACACAAGGGACTTGCGCAGCGAGAGTTTCGAACCCCTGACTTCAAGGTTTGGGTGTCCAAGACACAACCGATGCGCCGACCGCTTCTTCAATTTTTAAACTATTATCACCCCACAATATAAATAGAGCTATACAAATTATGTTACCAGTAAACAAGCGTGAAAGGCAAGGACTGAAAACTGTTAAAGGTACTTGCTTCAAAGGGTTATCACAAAAACAGCCTAAAACTTGGTTTTCATGAAATTGCCATACATGCTCAAGCTCTGATCTGTTGGCAACGCCGATTAATCAGTAGACTGAAACCGGGGAGCCTTACAATACGTCGAGGACAATTTACAGTGTAGAGATTGCAGTGAAGATTATACTGTAGCCACAATGTAGCGATTTTATGAGAACAGGCTTTAGTTGAAATCTGTCTCTTATACACATCTTATATATATATATATAGTAGTTAAGTTGTAGTTAAGTTTAACCTTGAGCCGTAATCCTATTGTTTATTTTATTGTACTGTGCTGGTTACTTTTTGTTGTTTTTATTGTACTATGTGTTTGAAGGACCATATTGTAAAACAACGGTAAGATCTCTCCTGTATATGTTATACTGCCTAAAGATGTTTTAAATAAATTAAACAAATAAAATGACCATAGACACCGATCGCATTTAAACCGAAAATGTGTTTGTCCTGTAGTAGGCCTGCCTACGTGCTCTCCTCTTTTGGACGTTTTTCTCTCTTTTTTTCTCTATTTTTGGAGGATAGGGCTAGCCCTCGTGCTTCCTGGATCCGCCCCTGATAACGATTAATTCAATGATTTTTTGATAATGCTTATTAATATTGGCAAAGCTTCATTTGAACTTGGATCAGTACATTCAGGAGTAAGCATGTAACATATGCACACAAAGGAAATGCACGTACGCAAATGACGATTGACGATATGATATTTTTTTTAATTGTCTACTTTACTGATATGTAAGGGGTCCCCAACATTTCTCGCCCCGGGCCCCATGACTCGTCGTTAGGCCACTGGAAACGAGTCGTTGTCTCTCACGGAATTGAACATTATGCTCTATAAACTATAAAACTCCATTGACCATTCGTTTGGGAGTGTCGAAAGTCGATATGAAACTCATGTTGTCTTACAAAATTTGAACCCGGGACCGCCATTCTCTAAGGTATCGTTTCTGTTACAGATATTGATATCCACTTTGGTCTGCATAAAGAAAAATTTCATCGCTTGACTCGAATGGAAGATACTGAATACACTTCAAGCCAATATATAGAGATTTTACAGAGTCCATCGATGCGGAGTATGATATTTGGATCGCTGATTGGAAGAGAAAGTATTTGGAACAATGCTTTAGCTAATGTAGAAGAATTGTTAAACGTAAGTTTAAATTTAATGTTTCTGTCGGGATGTATATAGGCCTAGGCCTATATATTGCTGTACGATATTAAAAGCATTTATTCAGTTGGTTTAACTAAATAGGGCATGGCATGCCCTGCAACCGACATGGTCAACGAACTAAATGAGCCGCAACCGAAATGAGGCGTTAGAGAAACAATCTGTACCCCTCCCCCACCAATACTTCATTTCAATATTCATACTGAAATATTAACATGTTATTGATTTTAGCTTATACAAACTACACGTTACATAAATGAGAGACAAATTAAAATAATCATAGCAGTACGCCAAATAGGGCTAAAAAGCAGAAATAGAAGCCCTGGCGAGTAGAAACAGATAGGATCAATCAACATTATTAGCAATTCTATTCATTCATGAACAATAACACTTACTTCTATCATTAATGCACAGCGTCATTGACAATGCACTGGAAATAATGTGATTGGAAATTACGAAAAAAAAAGGTCAACCACAAATGGTTAGATCTATCATATATAAAGTAAACAGTTAATAAAATAAATAAAAAGAATCAATTATGGATACAAACACTAGTTAACATCCTTCTACTTGCCGAACTGTACACCTTCCGGTAGGCCTACTTCGATTGTAACTGAGCTAAATCATACATCAATGATCAAAGGCGCTAATACCCCTGGGGCCGTGGATTTATCAAACTAGAAATCAGCTTAAAGTCCATTCTTTTGCTTAAGTCAAATTTATCAATATTGCTTATCTTTCAAATTACTTAAAATTTAAAAGTCGATTGTATGCATGCGCCATCTCAGACAGTTTTTAAGCAAAGATTTTGCTAAAAAAATGTTTCATAAATCAGATTAAGATATTTGCTTAGGAACTTTTAGACTTAAGACATTTGCTAAGCTGAGATTGATAATTTCAGGGCCTGGTCATTGGAAAATGTACAACAACGGCAAGCCAGCCCAAAGTAGAAGTATACCTGGTCGTTCGCGTGTACTCAGCGCGCGAAACTATTACAGCCAAAGCCACAACATTCTACCAGATTCCCATTTATATTCATGGCTAGAGAGAGGCAAACGTAGGTAAAGCAAGGACTTATAACTGTTATAACTGTTAAGTAACAGTAGCAGTTATAAGTCCTTGGATAAAGTGCCTTGCCTGAGGACACAAGGGACTTGCGCAGCGAGAGTTTCGAACCCCTGACTTCAAGGTTTGGGTGTCCAAGACACAACCGATGCGCCGACCGCTTCTTCAATTTTTAAACTATTATCACCCCACAATATAAATAGAGCTATACAAATTATGTTACCAGTAAACAAGCGTGAAAGGCAAGGACTGAAAACTGTTAAAGGTACTTGCTTCAAAGGGTTATCACAAAAACAGCCTAAAACTTGGTTTTCATGAAATTGCCATACATGCTCAAGCTCTGATCTGTTGGCAACGCCGATTAATCAGTAGACTGAAACCGGGGAGCCTTACAATACGTCGAGGACAATTTACAGTGTAGAGATTGCAGTGAAGATTATACTGTAGCCACAATGTAGCGATTTTATGAGAACAGGCTTTAGTTGAAATCATATTTCAGTTTTGATTAATTGATAATCTCTTCTTTTTTCGCAGCCGTACTTGTTAAACGATCCGGATAATCGGCTTGTTGAAGTGCCCTCCGCGTTTGGTGTGGGCACCGCAGAAGGCTTGGCGAAATTATATGGTATATTAGCCAATGGAGGAGAAGTAAATGGAAAGAAGATCATGTCGAAGAGAGCTATTGAGATATTAAACACGGGTGTCAGCAAGGGTTTTGACAAAACAATTGAGATAGATGTGGAGTGGGGGCCGGGAACCGGTATCAGCAATATTCAGGTAAGACTACCACCATGACTGATAAGATCCTTATTAGCCTTACTCTTGATTTTACACATTCGTTCGTTCATTCATTTGCATTTACTTTACAACCGACAGTAAGCTCCAGGCCCGTACGCAGGTATTTTTATTGGGTGGGTGGAAATTTATAGAGAGTGGACCAAAATGGCTCCAGGGAGGGGGGGTCGCCTAGTGGGGTCGCTCAGGGGGAGTCGCCTAGGGGGAAAACCCTGCTGGGATCGAGGGACGGAGCTCATGCATTTTTCACTTTTGATAGTTTGAAGTTTTATTTATTAGATGTCTGAAGATGCATGTATTAAACGGTTTTCAGTGGCGGATCCATTAATCTGAAGAAGGGATGGGGGGGTGGCAGGGAGGAACTTTCACAGATGGAGGAGATATTCTATCAGCCTCACCATGGTTGGGCCTGAAGTAAAAAATTTATAATTTAGGCACCTCCAAATAACACCTTTAACAGTTTCGAACCTGCAGCCTCTTGCTATCAAGGCCAGTGTCATACCGTTAGTCCACAAAGAAATATACGGTATATGTACAGTCGTAGCTATGTAATCATAGTAAACACAATCAAGTTTGGTTTTGCTACGCAAAAACCTATTATTATTATTATTATTATTATTATTATTATTATTATTATTATTATTATTATTATTATTTTTTTTTTATTATTATTATTATTATTATTATTATTACAGAACTGTGGTATTTTATCTTCTTAATATCATGTTTGTGCATGATTTAGTGTACACAAGGCATTTGTATGGTTTTTATGCAATACTTTTACCAATGAGCAATGAGATTTGGAGTAGTAGTAGTACTGGATAATTGATGTCTCTTATACACATTACTGTTAGCATGGATATTAGTCTCGTATTTTATTTATCACAGATTGGAAAAGCTTTCGGGCACAGTGGAGCCGGTGGACAGGAAGCCTGGGCCAACCCTGAACTAAAGCTAGGCTATGGTTTTGTGACGAATACGCCTACACTGAGCCTTTTGGAGTCGGGAAAACGCTACCTCTCATTACGCAACAGTGTCTACGATTGCGTTCAAAAGTTAGGAAAATAAAGACATTCATGAAGTCAGTAGTCTTTGATAAATGAGTCAGTTATAATTGTGTACGTTAATTGTTAAAAGTGATTGTATCATGATCTAATATTGTTTTGACTTGTTACATTGATGATTTTGTTATAGCTTTTACCACGTTAGTAAAATTAGGCTTAACGAGTCTCCTAATTATTTAACGTCTTGTCGTGTCAGTGACTAGTCCTGGCAAAAATGATGGTTTTAGAATAAATGTCACTGTGATTAATTGATCAATTACATAGCGTGCAATTGTAAAAATAGATTATAACATCTCGTTAACAAGATAACATAGGCCTAAGCCTAACAAGTGATTAACACATGTCTTAAAGCTGTTTAATTAGAATAACTCTATGGCAAACTGGATAAGCGTGTATTATTTAAATGGGAATATCGGTTCTAATAGTACTGTAAAGATATGAATTTGCGCCAGGAAATATCATAGGAGTGATGTTTTGCCCTACCTGACATGTTATCGTACCGAATATTCAGTACGTCCCCAATACTAGCGAAAAAAAATCGCAAGTGATTCTGGTGGGAATCGAACCCACGACCACCAGGTATATCGCCTGATGTCTTAACCACATAACCGCAAAAATCACACTCAAGTACAGTAGTTAAAAATCACCTCATATCATCTTATTTTGACTCCTATGATACGCCACTGTTGTATTGCTGGAGTTTATTTTGAAGGTCGTATACACAAGGCTGTAATAAGTTCGTTTTTGGATGTCGTCTCTTTAGGAGTAGGCCTTATCTCATGGATCAAACACGTGTAGGCCTACTAAACGAACAAAAGCTGTTCGTCGTCTAAAATGAGAAGATCTATGATGCATTTGAGAGCGATAACATTCCTCAAAATGTTACATTGTTTTTATTATTCTTTTGTGAAAACGTTGATGTAAGAACATTAAATCAAACATAATCAACTCGCATAGCACACAGTATTCATTTAATTGGTTAAATGGTTTTCTATATTCTTCTACATTGTACCAGATCCACCCAATTGTGGCTACTTTTTAGGCCTGTGTATTTTATTTTTGCATTAATCGTGCCATATTTAACTGTGTTTGTTCTTAAAGCTCGTCAAATCAGGGTACTGAGCCATTCGACCTTTGCCGGTGCCAGTGGATGGAAATTGCTTCTTCTTCAGCTTTCTGAACAACGCCCTTCGCTCTCACCACTTTCCCAAATCATGGGTTCTTAAAAGCATCTCAGTGGGCCCACTCCCAACTGAACTAGACAAAATGTTGCATCCGCCCAGACCCTTTGGACAAAATAACTGCTTTGTATTGCCTTGTTAGTGTGACAAATGTTCATGGTGTTAATTATCAATTAATTAGACTAGCCTAGACGAAATGTATCAGTAAACCAAGGGACCCATGTGATGATGTCCGTACATTATTTACCAGGGCGTCGATCGGTAGGAACAGGGAGACATTTTAAACCTCCACCCACTATTTAACATTCGTCTATAATTTTTTTTTTTTATGCTTTGAAATCGAGTGAAAGAACAACAATTACGTATTTAACTGTGTTTGTTCATTTAATAATTATGATTACGTAGTTTGAAACACTTTTATGATGACGTATGTGGAAGTAATGTTAATTATAAATTGTTAATTATCCATAAAATCAATGAAATACGACTTATGAAAGGCTAAAACGCCTGACCTTCCGGGAATTTCGCCCCGATACCCCTTGGGTTTTTTCCATGGACATCACCGGGCGCAAATCGTTTTTTCGTAGGATAGTTTAACAAAATCTCATGAATTATTCATAATCATTCTTATAGAACACATTTTGCGCATGCGCTACTTTCAAGCCCGCGTGTCAGCCTGAATGATCTGTACATCGCGATGGGACCTATAGCCTGGGTGCAGTAGGAAATTAGCGGGAAAAAAGTAAAGGAAAATTTATTTTTGGTTTTTCTGAATCAGTATATCATATAGTGTCTCAGAAAAAAAATCCCCATTCTTAGAGCTTGGGCAATTTTTTTTATAGCACTTTAAAATTTTGACATAAAATATCCTATTTTGGGCTAATTAAGATGGGGGTAAGGGAAATAAATGTAAGTTTTTAGTCACTTTTACATATGCTATGTGTATCAAATGTAACAAGGACTTGGCTAAATAGTTACTCCTCACTCTCGTTAAAAAATTTAATCGGAATAATGACGTCATCACAAAAAATTCCAAGATGGCTGTTATTACTATTGTACAAAATACAATCTCATCAAAGCAATCACATATAAAATATATATAAATATTATTATTTTAATAGTAGTATTATGCTTATTTATTATTGTTGAAATCATTAATAATATTATGTTTATATTACTGTATTGTATTTCTGTTATTTCAAAATTATATTTTAATATTACAATGAATTACATTGTTAGTACTCTTATATAATAATATTATTTATATTTTTATTACCACTATTGATATCATTACAGTATTATCATCATCCGTCATCATCATCTGTCATCATCATCCTCATCCTATTCGTCATCGTCATCCTCATTGTTGTCTAATCATTATAATCATCCTTACTATCATCGATCGTTGTAATCATCACCATCATCATCACATCATACTCATCCATCGTCATCGTCCTCATCTTCATCACGTCCTTATCAATCATCTATCGTCGTTATCATCATCCTCATAATCTTCATCCTCCTCATTCTTCATCATCATCCTCATCAACATATTCATCCACATCCATCATCCTCATCATCATCAATGGCATTAGCCAGCTATTGGCACAGTTGGGACAGTCCCACACCATTTTTCCAATGGGTCCACAAAAAAAATGGTCCACATTTTAAAAAAGGGTCCAAATTATGTAATTTTATGCATAAAATGGATCCAGATACCTTATATTTAGTTAAATATGGGTAAAATTTAAGATAATCGGTCCAGATATTTCATATTTTTCCGTAAAATGGGTCCACATTGTTTGAATTTACACGTAAAGTGGGTCCGCTCTGATATTGTCCCACACCGTTTTAAAATCCTGGCCATGGAATCGATCCTCATCCATCATCGTCACCCTCATCATCATGGTCACCCTCATCACCATCCTCACCAATCATTGTTAACATCATCACCATCACCTTCATCCTACTAATCATCCTCATCCATCATCATCCTTATTGTCATCATCATCAACCTCATCCTTATCCTCCTTGTCATCACTCATTCATCATCGTAGTCCTCATTATCATCATCATTGTCATTATCATCCTCATCATCGTCCTCATTACAATCATCATTTATCATCATCCATCATCATCCTTGTCCTCATCATCAACCACATCATCATCATCCTTATTAATCATCATTATCAATCATCATCCTCATCATGAGGATGATAATGAAGAGGGTGAGGACGACAAGAATGAAGATGAGGATGAGGGGTAAACGGGATGTTTCTCATCATTCGTCATCATTAACCTTATCAACATCATTCTCATCAATCATCCTCATCATTATCACGATCACCCTCATCAACGACCATTATCAATCAATCATAATCATCATCATCATCCTTATTTTCATCATCATCAAACTCATCATTCTAATCCTTCTCCTTATTATCATCATTATTCTCACAATCCTTATCAGCATCATTTTTTTTCCTCATCATCATCCATCATCAATCATCATCTACCTCATCATCTTCCTTCTCCTCATCAGCCGCATCATCCTCATCATCATTCTTAATCACCATAATCATAATAATCATTACCATCATCCTCATTATTATCATCATCATCATCGTCATCATTGCCATTATCATTTTCATCATTATCCTCTTCATCATCAGTCACTACCATCATCATGAGGATGATGAAGATGAGGATTACAAGAATGAAGATAAGGACAATGGTGAGGATGAGAGGGATGATTCTCATCATTCATCATCATAATTCTCATCAATCATTTTCTATCATTCTCATCACCATCATCACAATCATTATCATCAACAACCATTATCATCAATCGTAATCACCATCATGTTCTCCTCACCATCATCTTTCTTCTCCTCATCATCATCAACATCCTCCTTATAATGGGGAATATAATGAGGATGGGGATGACAATAAGGAAGATGATGATGGTAATAATAATAATGACATCAGTATAACAGTACTAACTAATGAATAACAGTACTAACGCTAATATTAATGTGAATTATAAACTATAAATTTTTTTAAACGCATATTAATAATATAATAGAGTAACAACATAATAGTATACTAATGATGATGAAGAAAAAAATGTAGTGTAGAAAGATTAAATTTAATTAGGTAAACATTTCCCTTAATTTTGATTGTCGTAGTCTTGGAATTCGGTGTGTTGACGTCATCATTCCAAATTTGCTTGGGAGGTGGGGAATTCCCGTTTGACAGGCCTAAACTCCCATCGTCCGATGCCTCGACAAGGTTGCCACACCACAAATAATGATTTGCTTATCCATTTAACATTATTTTGATTGCCAATCCCTAATATTTTGGCTTAAAAGCAAAATTTTGGGCCCTACAAAGCTAAAAAGAAACTCTCCCATAAGCCCAGGGAAGTTTATTCCGGGACTCTGACCGAGGGTCTAGTCGGCCCTGTGTTTGGACCCACATTATCAGACCCACTGGGGCCACCACTGAACGACAAAAATGGGTAAGTATTAAACTAAGGTCCTGTCAGTTTTCACAGTTATAGAAAAAAACTAAGTGACTAAAAAAATTGGTATGTTAAAGCAAAATTTCACTATTTCGTTTTTTCGTTGGGTTAATTTTGTAGTAGTTCATTATATATATAATCTGTCTCTTATACACATCTAGATGTGTATAAGAGACAGTCCATACACACAACAAGTCGCCATATGAAACAGAGGCCTAGTTATTATAATGTAAATGTTTGTTTAATAATACTACTACTTATAGTAATAATAATAATAACAATGATGATGATGACGATAGTAATAATTGACATTAATATTAATAACAATAAAAAGTGAAGAAAATTGTGCTAAATGCGAAAAAAAATTGTGATTTGTTGATCATAATATAGTATATATAGTTAAAGCTTAGTAAGCTATAATTAGGCCTAAGTCGTCTTGGATATTAAGTAGATCCCTGATAAAAGATCATGAGAAATGTGTTGGCGTTTCATTTTGACTATAATGGTAATGTGATGATGAATTTCACTATATAAAAGTGTCATTTCCGGCCATCTCGAGAGGTACTATTTCCTCAAATTTTCTCACCTCAGCCCCAGCCATGGTGGGGCTGAGGTGGCTGTGAAATCACGTTTTTGAAGTAGGCTTATGTAAAGTACATACTCAAAGACAATGTTTTTAAGCTTTGTTTTCTATGGGATACACACATACATTAATAAGATCTCTATGGTTGTCAAA